ATGAAGAGCGAATCGACCTTGCCCCGTTGAAGTCGAATTTTCCGTTTTCTCCCCTGTTTCCTTTCGGGTGTTGCCCACCATTCACCTTCTCTGTACTTCGTTCCCACGACAGCATTTATATGTTCTTACCTCTGGCCGCGAAGTTTTTTCTCCCTCCACTGTTTAATCACACATTTCACAGAAACCAAAAAGGAAGGCAATAGAAGTAACTGACCATTTCAGGTCATTGTTGGCGCAGTGGCATTGCTTAAAAGATTAAGAAGCCAGATCACTGCAAAGAAGAATATGGTTCGCTATCGCTGGAGAGTATTTTCCAGAAAGCAGAAGAATTCAATCAAAATCTTTACTGCAGCTAAGACCTTCAGGAAGAGGACAACTCGTAAGAGAATGAAGAAATGGTCTCCGAAATCTCTGTTGAAGAAAGGACATGGCCATTGTAGAAAATGAAACGAGGGAAGGCACCAGGAGATGAGATAATGGAAGATTTTATGAAGGATGCTGGGCTAGCTGCACACAAACAACCAGAAAGACTCTTCACTTCATGTCTCCAAAAAAGGCAGGTACCATCATCCTGGAAAAATGCTGTGATTATCCTATTGCATAAGAAAGAAGACCAGAAAGACCTCAATAATTACAGACCAATCAGTCTCCTATCCAACTTCTAACATCTACAATATGCATTAACATAAATGGAAAGAATCTAACCAATCTAATATTTGTTGATATTGTTTTGACTTCAGAAAGTGCTACAGATCTGCAGGGTTTCGAATGAACATGAAGGCCAGTCATGTTCGATGAGAATACCACTGAAGAGAACACTACTTTGATGGGGAACTGTTGGAAATAGTGAGCCAGTATATCTCTATCTTGGACAATTAGTTTGAACAACTTCAGACCATTCGGAAGAAGTGAATATTCACAACAGGATAGAGAGCCTTTGGCAGACTCAGTAACAATCATTAAGAGTGGGATGTGTGTTTTGTGGCTCATGTGTTTGAAACGGAAGACCTTCAATCTGTGTGTCCTCCTAGCAATGACTTATGGTAGCGAGACTTGGGCTATAACCAAAAAACTCGAAGTAAAAATGGAAGCTGCTCAACGAAGCTTGGAACGATCTATATTGGGAATGATATACAAAGACCGGATGGAGAAAACCTGGATCAGAAAGCCGACTCAACTGGAAGACATCATTAAGTGAAGGGAAGTGGAAATGGGCATGACATATTGCTCGAAGGTCTAGATGGGAGGTGGACCAAGAAAACCACTGAATGGTACTCAAGAGGAGCAATAAGGAGCAAGAGAAGACTGAAATTGCAACGAAGAGAAGAAATAAGTTTAGTCCAGTCAGCTGGTGCAACATGGAACAGAAAAGCGCAATATAGGGTACTTTTGCGCCAGATAGGAATGGCTTTCATCCAGCAGTAGATCAATAATAGTCGCTAATGATGATGATGAGGGGGAAAAGTGCGTCCTTCCAAGATGATGAATTTTGATGACCTGGCCATTTCCAGAAAGTATGCTTGAATTTCTGAATCAAGGATCAGAGGAGCATCTTGCTTCCACGATCAAGAGGTGTAAATAAAAAGTGAGAGTCATGTCGAGTTTTAAGATTTTTAATGCGGTCATAGCAAGAATAACTGAATATTTCCAGCAAATTCCCCCCCCCCCAAAAAAAAAAAAAACTCTGAAAGAGAATATGTAAAAAAATTAGATTTTCAGTGAGTCTCTTCGTTTGAATCTTGAAAATAATTACTTACCAAACATCCTGCACGCGTGAAATAACTGACATCCTTCCAGGTGAAACTGTCTTATTTCTACCAGAGTAGTCTATCTAGTAGCATAATGTTGCGAGCAGCAATGGCCACTCAGAGTAACGTCGAGCCAAGAGCGGTGAAAATTTTTCTCCTGAAGGAGGCCATTTCTCCGGCAAGTATCGTTTGTGGAAGAGGCATTGTCACGAAGGACTGTGCATTAGGTTGACAAATTTTATCGCTGATCTGTACTCAAAGATACTCTCACTGGCTATATAATTGGTATATCTGATGAACATCTTGAATTGCGATGAATATGGCTGCACTATGTTTGACACCTGGTGGAAGAACATCACATGAAGTGGGACGTCCTTCGGATGATTCCATGCTATTGAGATGTGCGAGCCGATTCCAACGTTACGTAACATATATAGTCGCCACTGCTTCAGTTGGTATGGATCTGAATTAACAACCCAGGTCCAGCTATAAATTACGGCTGGGATTTTATAAAGTACGAAGTGGAGTGTTTTTTATTTCTTCCCTGTCCAAGTAATGAATTTTCTTGCTTTGACAAAGCCTCTACATCTCGCTAGTTTTAATTTCAGATTGCTTTCACCTTAGCTCAGATGTAAAATCTATAAATGTTTTCTCGCCGCAGCGAGTCGAAGATTTCCACAATCAACTGAAGCAGAATGATGCAATCGATGATTGCCCTTGCCGAAACTGATGTGCTGATCCTCTGCCGGTGGTGAATGAAAAGACCTGGATGCCTCAACTATTCTTTCCGCCGTACTGAACCATGAGTCATCCGTGTGACTACAGATAATAGCTATGACGCGTTGCAATTTGGCGCCATCACCTTCGAACCGAATCACTTCCTGTTTTCGCTTCGACCTTAAACCCTCCAGAATTTTGCACTCTGGGCGTTCAACTGGAAGAGATGAGGCGGAGATGGACAAATATATGAAAACGAGGACGAGACATAGGTGCTGATAAAGAGTGCAAATTTCGAAATTGACGAGACCCAGTCCACGATGGAATTCGAGTCCTTCATGGGTTCTTCAAAGGCTAGATTTTTTAAATTTCCCTCCCTCGTCCAACAATGCGGGCGAAAATAATTTTCGAAATTCAGAAGCATTTTTCATCCTCCTTCATTTTATCCTAGTCCCGAGATTCTTAACTATCGTGAACCTATTTCAGTAGGGCCGAGAAATCACTTTCAAAGAACAAGAAGTAACTGACATCAGTAGTTTAGCATATATAATTAATGGACTTAGAATCTCCGCTCTGAGTGAATCACATCCTCCTGAAACTATTTACAGGGTCATAACGGCTGTAACTGGTAACCTATCATCTAAACTTACCTACATAATCTAACACGCTGCCAAAGCAAAGACAAAAGATTAGTCATTCAACCCTTGATACCCAAGCGAACGATGGCGAAGTTGAAGATTTTGTGGCACGAAGTGTGGGGATATATTTGAAGCTCACCGCGGCTACCTGTCCCCGTCTTATAGCCATCTGAATGAAAAATTATTCTCAGTTTTCGAGATTTATAGTTTCTTACCTTCATGTCAAGATTTGAAGACAGTCGAATGAAGCTTCTTAGAGCATTAAACAACAGAAGATAGTCACACAGAAATTCCCAGGGAGCACTGATGGCGTTCAAGGGAGAGACCTTCCATATGAATGGTGCATTGACTCATCATCATTCAGTTCACCTCCAAACACCCTTTGAGGAATAATTGTAATTGAGGAGTAATTGTAATTGTGAACCTCGTAGTGAGTCATAATTAGGGAGCGGGTTTTTATGCGACTGTAATTTTTTATGCAACGTCGTAGGAATATGCAACCCAGATGGGAGCATGTATTATTCGGAGAGGAAGCGATTGATGCCATTTAAAAAAACGCATAATTTGCCGTTTTCCTTATAATATGCATATTTGCGCATATATCGCGATTTTCTATGGAAAAGTATTTACATTCCCGGAAAACCTGTTTTTTTTTTCCAATGAAAAACGCTGAAATTTTCCCAACACTCGTGTTCTGTGACCAGATTAGTCCGAGTATGCCTAACAGACACCCGATTTTATCTTGAAGCTTACCCTTATCCCTGCTGAAGTCCCAAGTCCTTCATCGTTCTGCCCTCGTGCTGTAATGATGGGTAAAGTTAGTCAAGTCAAAGTAGCTTTGTTGCAGTCTTATGCGGCAGAATTCGGAGGGAAAAGTGTCTTTAGCAGTGATGGATAAGTCCTCTTTTGTCACGTGTGTGAAATGAAAGTGCCAGCTAAACGCAAAAGTAAAGTACGGCAGCATGTTGAAACAGGTGAGATGACTATTCCATTGAAAAAGATTGATCTACCTTAACGTTCAATTTTTGCGGAGGAAACGGTATTCGAGTGTTTTGGAAATTTTGCATTTTTACATTTAGCAAAGCATGAAAAGAACAATTTATTGAAAATGGCAGCCGAAGAAAGACGGAAAATCCACCAACTCCTGACCACTTTCAAATTCACAAGCATGGAAAAAAAAAACTTCTGGTTCTGCTTGGTGCTCTGTCATTCAAGAAGCTAGAGGATCCTGTTTTGAAGTCATTTTTCGAGAACTTCGAAGTCTCCCCAATGAATCCCCTCTGAGGAAAACGTATCAAGATGCCGTTTTCAGGGGAAAAAAATGGTCAAATTGCACGAAAGTGTTTGAAAGAGTAGAACGTCTGCATTGTTGTGGATGAAACCACAGACCAGTATCAGCGCTTTGTTGTGATTGCTTTGGTTGGAGGATTGTTTGCGGATCCCCCAGGGGAATGTTATTTTCTCAACGTGGAGATTTTAGAGAAAGTTGGTTTGAGAAAATGCTCTCATTTTCTGGGTTAAGAGAAGCACGAGAAAAGTTTCCTCATTGACGTTCTCTTTCTCTCCGTTCCAGGTCAATCATACAACGATAGCGCAATTCGTCAACAATTCTTTACTGATTCTCTGGCCAGATGGGATTAAATATGAGAAGTTTCGTTTGCTTCTCAGCGATCAGGCCAGCTACAAGGTGAAATCCAGTTAAAATCTGAAGGGACTCAATCAGGGATATAAAATGCATATTTTTTGCTTATTTCCCCACTTTTGTGCATATTTAATCCATATTTTGGCATTTTTAAGTGCATATTTCAGGACTTATTAGTGCATAAAATTCCGCTCCCTAGTCATAATGGCACAATCAATCCAACTTTAGTTTCCTTAGTTCCTTATGCATCTTTTAACCCTTTCCCTGGCCCATGCCAGTGAACACTAAGGAATGCTGGACTTCAAAACATGCCTGCACCAGTAAAAGTGTTAAGAGGGGGTGGGAGGACTGTTTAATGAAGGAGGCTTATCACATTAGCTATTTGAGGATTTCACCTAGTCTAAAAGATGACAGACGTCTAGATGCACCACATGATCGGTAACCAGAATTTTATCATTTGCATCAAGATGAAGCCTTGCAATGACTGTTGGATTTTGGAATTCAGGGTTTTGGAGTGGAGAGACATGACAAGGAAACATGTCCACAGTATCTGTGCAATTAAATATAAAATCAACAGCTGACTGAGCACATTTCTCCTTTTCTTGAGTCACTCTCAATAATGAATGCAGCTCTCATGGCTCTGGAGTCCCTGAAAACAAGTCACGAACACCTTAATGCCACCAATTTCCTCACAATTTCCTTTTGGCTCAATTGACATCACTTCTGAACCAAAGGGCACAAAGTTAGAATTTACCAGGGGTACTTCTGCTAAAAATGAAAATCCTTAATTGAGAAACTTGAACCTCAATGTGTCATGACATTCAAGACAAGCAGATTAAGTCCCTTGTATAGAACAAAAAGAATTAGTGGAAGTTCAGGAAGTTTTCCAGGGTGCAGGAGGTTGTCCATCCATTCGCTCAAGTCGAAATTTGAAGACCTTATAACCTGTCCGACTTGGTGCCATCCACCAGTCAGTCACACTGTAAATCCCTATGGGAATAAAAGGTACCAATACTCAGTACACAATACTGGCTAATGGAAAATGAGATGTTAGATGTGTTCTATATTAGGACCCTTGACCACATGGACAACTTTCAAATAAGTAGGGCAAAATCAAACAAATCAGCACTGCCACACCAGATTCACTTACCATCATATCGATAGCCAGACTCAGGTGCATATGGACTTTGAAGCTTGTAGCCTCGCACAACACGAACAGGGTTCTTTGTTTCAATGCTTTTCACAAGGGCTTCATTTCCTCGTGATAGCTCCTGGTCTTTACTTTGAGGTGCTGTTCGTAGATTCTGGTTGAAAGAAACACATCCAAAATGTAATACCTGCAGAAAAATTGTGAAAGGCCTAAATGTTCACTTACCTTAGGGTTGGTTTTGGTGCCTTTGAGATCACGACCACCTTCGCCAGTATAGATGATGATGTCACCTTGATCATTCTCATTGTCATCCTCATAACCCCCTGACACCACCAAAGAGTATGCACCTTCTCCTCCAGCATGAATTCCAGCAACAGTTGGCCTATGTATTCCTGCAGCACAACACTCCATGCGGGAGTCCCATGTTGTCCCAACTGGAATACCTATCAACAAAGAGGGGGCACACATCCATTAACTGAATTTAAATTTATCACAGGTATGTGTCTGAACCCTTAGCTATAGGCTTTGGTCAATAATGCTAAACTATATGGTATACTCACCACACCATGCATTTTTTTTTTTCAAATGTGGTTTGGGACAGACACACAGACAAGGACAAAACCACTAGCAGCTGGAAACATACTAAAGGAAAGCATTCACAATATTTTAAACCCATATTGGCATGCTAACAACCCCACACCCTCTATCACACTGACACCTCATCTTTACAGGTCCAAGGAAGGTAGTGGCAACTTTAATGCTCATCAGACTAGGTCTGTATATCAATGCATTTTGCACTATTAGGGCTGATCACCAGGTTGCATTGACGTGCATTGAACCCTACCTCACAACATGAATCACAGAGCTGCTTAACCCAAGAGGGAGCATATAGTACATAAAAACAAATAAGTGAATTGACAGCACAAAAGAATATCACTTTCCAAGGGTCAGATTGGATGTGTATCATGCAATGATTTGAAAATGAATTTATGCAACAGTCTGTCTGCCCAAACCTGGGAGATTCAGAACTCTACCCTGACTTGGCTCTTTGTGGAGAGTGAGGATAGCTGAGATACAGTGACAGCACTGGCCTGGAGGGTATATAGGAATCCCAATCCTTTGTGTATATCTTCTTCACTGCCCCAAGCCACATGTCCCAACCTGTGATAGGTGCACCCTTAAAATGTGTCAGTCTCCCTCAGTTTCAATTGATCATCCATTGACTTCACATACCAAAAAACCCCTTTGCTAATCTAAATTACTCCAAGGCTTGGGCAAACAGGCTCTACCTGATGTTCAAACTCAAGATGGGGTCTTGAGGTCTAATGTCATATCCTTCATGGAATATACAACCTCACTTCTGGGCACACACTATAAAAATAGCATGCAGTATATCAAAGGAGGCTTTCTTCAGTTACATATCATTGTAGACCTCCAATGTGTGAGCATGAAGACCTTACTGAGCCACAGTGATGCAGTTCCCACAGGCATTACAGAACATGACAAAGCAGAGCATCACAATAATTCAATATGCAAACAATAAGCATAGTTCAAGTTCAGCATTTCCATCTTACAGATACACCATTTTGACTTTTGATGAACTCCCTAATTATTAATTTTCATTATTATTTTAATTGAGTCAACAAATAACTTAGTAACACCTACAATAATGTTCAAACTCAAGAGTTAAATCAGGAAATGTAATAAAGAAAAGCAGTGGTAGGGCAGTATGCCTAAAGCAATGGAACATGCAATAGGGCAAGGATTTTGCTGTCTCCCTGAGCCCCAAGTCACATATAGAAGTTGATGGCATGAGATTTTTGAAGAGCTTCATACCGGGAATCACTCCATACACATTTGGTCTGTTCTTTTCTATCACAATCTTGGGTCGTCCTTGTACATCTTCATCCCAGTCAAACACCTTGATCTCCTCCAGTGACTCATTTTGGTCAAGCTCTCCACCACCCTTTGGGGTAAATGGGTGAAAACATTGAAATATTATGTCAAATTTATTTATTTTGGTGGGTTTGGCTTCTGGAGGCAGAATTCCCCAAAAATTAAAGGGTGATCTTTAAAAATTATAGAGTGATGCTATCGAAGGGCCTCAATTGCTTAAATATAGAAGTAGGTCTTCTTGGTCTTGAATGAGTGCTTTTTAACAAGCATGACTGACTTTTATTGCACATTTAAGGTGCAGGCTAAAAATTAAATGAAAACTGAACAGTTCAAGATTCTGCATTAGAGGTGGAAGGTGAAAACATTTCATGGAATATCTAGGCACAACATTATGTGCATTATAAAAAAAAGCTGAGATGATAGAGAACCCAGAGAAGTGGGCATTTGTTGATAAAGGACATATTTAACATCTTTTCCATATTTGTATACTTTTTTTTATAGCATCACATATATCATACTGCTACATAATTCATGCAGTTCTTCAGTTGGTGCTCATATCCTTCAACTGTTTTTACCATAAGTTATCTGTAAGTGATCATCAGTTTTAGTAACTCGTCTTTTGTCTAAGAAATAAAAGGACCATATATTTCTTCAGCTGAGCATTTGCTTATGATGTTCATCAACCAATGGCCTAATTGTAAGCATGAGCTTGATATTGGCAGCTACTTTTAATGCAGTATTTGAGGCAACTACACAGGAAATTGCATATAGATTCACAAAGGAAGAGGTATTCAACATATTTGGACTCATGAAATAACATGAAATGAACACAGCTATCAAGTACTTAGAGAAACCATTCATGGTAATAAAGTGAGTTGTTTGGAAATGCAATTCACCCGTGAAGCAATACGCGTGGAGCGCCTCACTGGTGTAGAGTAAGGATGATACTTATTCCCACTCTTTTTGATTGCTGGACTCTTTGATTTTGCCTTGACTACCTGTAAGAGAAACACAAGTATGATGTATTAACTCATTCACAATAGTCAACTGAAATTCTAAGGAAAGTTACTGGATAGGGTATGATACCTCATCTTTTGGATAGATTCCTGGGAATTGGAACTTGATCTTTGGGGTTACTCCTAACTCTGCAAGAACGGCATGTTTCTCCTGAATATTCTTCTCTCTTAGCTCTTGATAAGTATTCTCACACTTCAGCCCAGTGCTTCCAGTCATCTTATAGGGTGAAAGATAAAAGAAAAAAAAAAAAACATAAAGTCTTAGATTTAATGATGAAAGATTATGAACCAAAGGCAGATGATTAAAGTTAGGCCTACATGTCATTCAATATGCTCAGGATTATCATTACTTATAACTTTAGTATAGAACTATTAAATGCTTCTTGGCTGACTTCAGTTTAAAAGTGACCATCATGAAAGTGGAGCTAAATTCATAGGTCTACATTTACCCACATACCATAAGGTATCATAAATATAGGCTGAGCATGAAGTCAGTTAAGTTCAACACACATAAGCTTTTTCCTACTTGTGAGAGATGTAACAAATTTTATTTGAAAGGATCAGAAAATGCATTCTTTTATCACTCATGAAGTCAAGTGTGTAATCAAAGATTACAGTAAGATCACCTAACTGCAGAATAAGCTCCTACAGTCTTCAACTATACTAAGGGTTGTTTGCATGAACTTATCTTAAAGCCCAATTTTAAATTTAGTCCAGATTGAGAGATGCCTAGCTAAATGTGCTGCTAAGACCAAACTGTGAGAATTTTTAGCTGGATCTAATTTTCAAGTTGGGTTTGAATGAAATTACTGACAACACTAATGTTAAAAATGTATTATAAAAATGAGGGCATTGCATTACCAGAAACCTAATAGCTGGAAAAATATGTTAGTGTTTTCCACTCAAGTTAGACCATTTTTCACTTGACCCCATGCACAGGTGTCCAAGTCAAGTGAAAAATTGTCTAACTCAAGTGAAAAACACTGTGTGGGAAACATTGTGCCATTTTGAGAGGTTTCTGGGGGGATTCAACAGCCACATGTGAAAAGCTTTGCATTAAAAAGCCTAGCAGACAGTGAGGTACTGAAACTGATGTCTTGCTACAATTCCCAACCTCCATTTGTAATATAGAATTCAAAATTAAGGGGGTTTCCAATGCCATCATAAAAATGTGTGAACCACAGCTGTGTAGTTACTACTACAAATATGCACATATCCACTTTGGTGTCACTTTCCAGATTAGCACATATGAAAATGTGAAAATTCAGCTGTTGCCTCCTTAATGAAAAATATTGGCTGAAACAATTCCATAGCAACAAACCATGCAAACAACTACTGGACACAGATTAAGAAGCAACTCTTTTAATTTCAGAATAATTCCACATTTCCATAGTATGTTGTTGAATTTGAATGCAGGTTCCCTTCACCAATACACTTCCACAAATTGCTCTGATTTTGAAATGTCCTGAATGCATCAAGGTCACTTCTGTTGCAGGCTGAGAGATCATGAATCAAAGCACTATAAGGACCCAAGAAACTCTAGATAGTATAGCAGGAACAGTGCCAGTATAGCCTGCACTCTACCTTAAGGTATGATCTTCCTCTTGGGCAAGTGAGCAAAACCTCACTTGCCTGGGAGGTAGATCAAAAAGAGATGGCAAGGGTGATCAACTATAGAATCTGTTACCATGCCTTTGGGAGCAAATAAGTGTTAATATACATATATCTATATGGATATATTGGTAATACCCTCGTATATTTATCTTTCTTATGGCACATATTTCTATGCCCTTCCAGTCCAGTCTTCGTCATTCCAACGAGACCCATCATTGCACTGGCACAGATGGTGAACCTCATTTATTTTCTCCCAGGTTTGGTGTCAAAGACCAAAGAGTGAGAAAGTCAAGCTACTTTGGAGAATAATGGGTCAGTTGGGTTAGAAAAGAGTCTAGTGAAATTGAGTTGGGTTTAGTGATAACCCAAAAAAGCATATAGGGAAGGTACAGCACACACTATAATGGCACCACAGAAACTGTAAAAACAATGAACCATGCACAACTTGAGGCAAGGGCAATGTGCAAAAAATTCACAGAGAAGTCTGATATGGAAATTGCCAAATACAGAAAAAGGTGCTATGCTCTGAAGCCAAGACCAAACCAGCTCTCAAAACCTGCTAAGGTGGTGGCCAACTATAATGCCAAAGTGCAACAGTTGCCAAAGAAGTCAGTGTGGGTGTCCTTGCTTCACACCATTAGCAATGCTTCCCTTTCTCTGGAATTTCTGCTTAAAATACTTTCACTTTATTAGCAAGACCCTTAAGTTCGTGCAGTGTTCAATATTTTCAGCAACTGGTGCATTTTATCAACACATGATTCCACTAATGCCATTCATTTCACCTAATTTAGCACAGTGACAGTGATCAACAAGCTTATTGCCATGCACCACACTATCCAGGTAATGTTCTTTCACTAGTGGCACCTCCTAAACCACATGTGCCACCTATGGTTATCAATTTCTTGTGGTCCCTTTATGCTATCCAGCTAATTTCATAACCATACATTCATTCACCTGCCTGGTACAACCATCTAAATTACTTGATAATCACCCTGCCTTATATACATTAGTTTCGGTAATGATATAGGACTTCATGAAAAAAAGCATGAGAATAGAGAGGCTGATGAAATTGAGGGATGAAACATTGAAGAAGCAGGATAAGTAGGACAAGCATATTTTGGTGCTGTGCTAGTCAAGTCACTTCAAGCCCTATACCAGTTATATGATGGGCCTGAAATTTGAATTTTTATGGAATGAAACCCATAACGCATTTAAGCACCAAAGTTGAAGATTCTGAGATGGGAATTGAATGTAAAGTTTCAGCATCAGAGTTTTGAAAGAACTAATGAAGACTAATGAAAGATGCCTCTTCACCATGGTAATAAATATGAACAAAAGTATACTATGGTCCAATACATCTAATAGTCACAGATTCTCAAGCATTTTAGTACCTGACTCCACTTCAGAGGTCAACAGTTTGTGATACCTAGTTTTTAGGGTACTGTATACCAAGAGATTTACATTTACTGTACATGTTTTATAAAATAATACAACTCTGTCTCTGGTGACAGCTTTCTCCTTAACCCTTTCACTACTTTGTGCCCAATTAGGCACAGGGATTGAAAGCAGGTAATTAATTTATACATATTTCACCCATAAATTTATTGAAATGGGGGATCCACCCAAATGTCAATCCATGGCAATCAATAGTCTAATCAATGGTGATACTGTCAAGGAAAAGTTTTGAGATTAAGCATTATTTTGCATGTTGGATAATGTCATGAATGCTTTCATACAAAGAGAACCAAGAAATATGGGCAGAAAATAATTTGTCACTGAGCAGATTAAGACTCATGTGTATTGAAGAGCTGAGTTGTGACAACTGAAATGGTCAAAAAAGAGATGGTTGCATATATTATAACATACAGTACAGTCACATAACTGTTATATTATGATCTATGTATGTTGGCATACACTAAGCAATGTCTAGCAATATCCATGAATCTATGTGTGATATACATTAAGTTCAAATTTAGAATCATGCAGTGAAAATACATGATATACCATATATGGTGGACATACATATGTTCTTTCCTAACAAATGTATCTGGACTAAATTATGTTGAGGCTGAAGTCAGCTCATACTAAGCTAGTAAAGTTGCAAGCTTTGCATCATCAAATCATGGAGTTAAAAATGCACTAACCTATGGATTCTAAAAACTTTTGGTATACTGTTGAGGCTAGCTGCATTTTGGCAAACACAGATCTACACCTAATTTAGGCCTAATTTTTATATTTTAAATTTTAATTATTTTATCAACTGAATCAACTGAATTCAAGACATCAGAAGTTTGTAGGCATAAGGGGTATGAGTCTATTGGAAACTATGGGGCAACTGAACAGTGATATTCAATTGATTCACCCCAAACTCCCTTCTGAATGGTGTCATGTCATGCAACTTGAGCAGTAACTGCAACTTCAAAATTATTGACCTTAGCTAAAACAGCAATTGAGGTAGGCAAAGCGTACTTCCCATTTCCACCACAGCATGGGGAGGGGTTGAGGCACACGGCCAATCGAAAAATAATTGTACAAAGTTATCATAATTCATTTATAAAGATCCTAGGCCGAAAGGTCGAAGAGTGACTGCATAACAACTTCCCTTGCTCATCAATGCAAGGAGCACATCTAGGTCTAAATATAGTGTTACCTTGCCCATTCTACACCCAGTTACGCATGGACCTCAAGTAGTAGCTGATGAGCTGAACTCTGGAAATTTTCCCATTTCCTATCTCTGAATAAAATGCATTGCCAAGGATCGTGGCAAACGTAAAAGCACACTTTCCCATCTTCAACGCAAATTATTCAATGAATTAGGGTCGAGCAAGACAGTAATACCTTGCTCTGGGGGTACTGTATTCACAGACTTGGCATTAAAAGGCAGACATGCACGTGGACCGGCCCTCTGTCCATGCTTCATCTTTAGCGCCGGGAACCACCAGATTCCCCAGTGTTGCCCTAAGCAGAGTTCAATTATGAAGCAATTCAATTCCGTTTAATATATTCTCTCGAAAGGACTAGGTTTGTGGAGAGGAAGCAGATCAATGGGGAAAATTTTTAAAATCTCAATAATTTGACATTCATCAAGCATTTGTAAACGCTTCAAACGCTACAAATGGTGGGTGGGCAAATGAATTATGCCTCGAAGTTTTTGCCGGGGTTTATTTCTGGAAAGTTGGACCAGCACTTAGGCGCCGACCTTTAAAAAATATTGGGGGGGGGGGGACAAGTTCCTAATGCCCCTGAAATAACAATGACGCAATTATTCCAGGATCCATTGGGGTAGCTCATTATTATTATGGTAGCATATTGACGATAGGGGGGGGCATGGCCCTTCCACCCCATACCCTTATGGGGTAGGACAGGGATCTCACCCAGTTGGAGCTCGAAACAGAAAGGAAAATCATATCTTTCATTTCTTTCGTGAAGCAGCATTTTGTTTTCAATTTTCCATGTGCTATACTTTTGTTGAAATTTTGCCATTCTTGGGGGGCGTTGCCCCCTCAATAATATAGTTGGGGGGGCACCGTGCCCCATTGCCCCCCTGGGTTCGGCGCCTATGGACCAGCATGGCATATCTTGGAGAATTATAATTGAATGTGATGGTCCCTGTGTGGGTAAAGAGGGATTGAGATAATTTAGTGGACGAGAGAGATCCAGGTTCAAATTGGATATTGCTGTTTTGCTTGTGACACGAGAAATGGGAGAAAGTTACGTCGACAACGTCCAAGCCTTTTGTTTTTGGGACGGTGTCTTCATAAAGACAGGTAATATGACTTCCTGTTTTGCCTAGATATTACTGCAGCTTCCTCCAAAGATTCCTAGTGTGGTTTAGAGGATATAACTTCAGCTAGGTTCTCTAAATAGAAATTTTGCATTGCAAGCTTTACTTCTTGTTTCATAATTTGAGAATACTTTTTGAAATACAAATGCAAGTGTATGTCTTGAGGGTGGATTTTCAGGAGATGGAATCGATTTCGCTTATAACTAGCCGGCACTTTGATGCCAGTAGTTATCCAGGGTTTAAATTCATAGAGCTCTTATACCGAGCGATCTTTGTTAGGAAGCTGTTTCTCATAGATATTTGAAAAGCGCTTAGATGACAGCAAATATGGAATCTACCATGATTTGGGCATAAACGGGAGCCCAATCACAAGAGATGAGGACGTCTATAAACTGATTTGTAGTGGCCTCGTTGACCAAGGGATATATATTGGGTGCAGCGTGTCCTCCCTGTCTATGGCCATTGAGCGGAAAGGATCCCATTCAGCATTACAACATTGTGCCAACATTGACAAAAGGTTGAAATGTTGAGACATGGCTGAAACTGAGAATTCAGCGAAGAATCATCAATGAAATGCCGGGTATTCGTAATTAATAGAATTTTCAGCATATTGTGACCACTCATGGATTATCAGAGTCGTTTGGAAGCAAATTCGCTTTTCACATTTGCCTTCATCATAGACTCAATGTTGTTTCAACATGGAGTTGTCCACATAATCTCAACAGAAAATAGTTTCTACCAATCGACGCGAGACGGCGCCTAACTGCCGATTTAGTGATTCTCACCTTGGTGCCCTAAAAAATAAAGTCCCCTGTATTTTCATACAGTACCCTATTTTTTCTTTCGTACAACCTAAGGAAAGGCTTTGGAATTCCTCGATTGACCCGTTGTAGGAGTTAACCCGACAGAAGGAGACTCAAAGTAATCTGGCCATGGGGTCCGAGGGGACATGCCGTATTTTCCTACCTCACTACACGGCGCATATACTGCCTTGGGCACTTTTATCTTTTTCGAGAATGACAGAGTGTGTTAACCAGATTGCGAGGGTGTGTTTGGCTCTCCTCCTGCATGAGAGATAAATCTGGTGATGCTGCCTAGCACGTAACTCCATTGCTGGGCCGAATGAGTTTCGTCATTCAAGTACTTACTCAGATTCTGATCCAGTAAAGGAAGTTACAATCTTAGAAGGACCCCTCTGTGGGATGATAGTACTCACTAGAGTACTTTCAAGCTCTAGTCAATTTTAACACGCCTTCAAGCTCAGAAAGAGGAAGAGGTAATCCTCAAACGTTGCGAGTTCAACGCTGGTACAACGTGACACATACGAGGGGCGTTCAAAAAGCTTCTGGCCTGAGGCACTTCCATTTGCAATACACCATTCATATTCTTTTCATAGAAAGGCAGATGTCTTTTGATGATGAATGGAAAATGTTCAACTTATTTGTCGATGATAGAAAGCTTCTATGAATTTTTTTCAATGTGTCACCAAGGGGTTTGCTGAAGGGGTATTTAAATTGAAACGTATGCTGTGATGAATTTTTTAACCTTGAAGGAATCGTTTCCCTTACAGATCTTGTAGAGTAGGGTCAGTAATACAGTATCCTCTCAATCGCTTAAAGATCTACTGAGTAATCGACTCCTTCAAAGTTAGAAAAGTCATCTCAGCATTCGTTTCAATTTTAGAAGGTTTCTATCATCGACAAATAAGTTGAACATTTTCGATTCATCATCAAGACATCTGTCTTTCTATGAAAAAAATATGAATGGTATATTACGACTGGAAGTGCCTCTGGTCGGAAACTTTTTAAACGCCCCTAGTAAGCAAATATTCAACGTTGAACTGTGTTTCATTTCAACATTGCGGCAACATTGAATCCACCTTTTACACACCGTTGTGGCAACTTTGTTACGTTGAAAAGTCAACCCTCGCTCAATGCTGACCCGACGTTGTTATGCCGAATGGAATACAAGTAATGCACCATGGTCTGTTTCATCAGTGTATGGTGCTTTCCCAGTTACGAATATCACATGGTAGGAGCACGTTATCAATCAATGTTTCTGAGATCCTTCGAGTTGGTTGAGAGAAGCAGCACTGGAGGTCAAAGGAGGTTGTGAGACCCAATAAATTTGTGGTAAATGGAGAGAATTGCTGCTGATTATCTTGAGTTTGTGAGGAACACTGAAACTGCCATCATTTTCAAAGTATTTCTCTAAAGCAAGTGCATTGAAAGCGTCACAGGAGATGTAGGTTAGCTGACTGCTAATATAATGGGTGGGCCAAAAAAAAAAACAAAGCAATCAATTTTCGTGAGATGTCATTCTGATTGTAGACAGCCGATTCTGATGAAATTTGGTAGGCACATAGGGTGACTCAATTGGAGTTTGTGTGCCAAATCTCAAATAAAAATATAAAAAACTGAGAATAGTATTTCATTTACTTTTCATCGCCAAAAAAGTGTAAGTAAACTTACTATTTCTCACAACTGACGAAACAAGCAAGCAAAGAAACAGAACAATAACAAAATGCACAAATGCAAAAAACGACAGTACAAAATTTGGTTTAGGTAGGTTCATTTCAACTGAAAAGGTGCTCAATGTGGCCTCCATTCTGTTGAACACAAGCCTCTAGTCTGGGACGCCACAGATCAATGGTTCTTCAATAAATCATTGAGGCACTGCTTCCGAATCTTCCTCTTTAGCATCATGTAGGGATGAAGGGTCATGAATTCGTCCTCCCTTTCATCCCGGCCTTAGGTTCACATCGATATTTTCGACAGCAAATTTTGTCGAGGGTCATCAGAAAATAAGTACAACTCCTATAATTTTAGAGCCAGAATGATGGAATTCGGCATAAAAATTCCAATTGAGTCACCCAATTAGCTTACCAAATTTAACCAGAATTGGTATGGCACAATGAGATTGAAGACTCATGAAAAACACAGCTTTGTTTTTTTTTTTGGCCCACCCTGTATATGGAGGTTCCTTGTCCCTTGGAATTTTGGCGGGTGAAAGCTTCCATTTAATATTCTGGGAGTGAATAAAGGCCAGGTATTCCATCTTGAAACCAGCTTTCTCGGCTTTCACCGAGACATATGGAGTACGGGTGATACTGATCTACTAGTACCTCTAGGTCATCAAAATTCTTCGTCAATCATTGTGTCTGTCTTTCGACAAAGGAGAAAGTCGCAATCAAGACACACGCATTTCCTGACACTTTTGAACCCAACCACTGACGAAAGATACTGCTGGCCCATTGTCAACGACAGTGATTCCCAACCGGTATGCCCTGAGTGAAGCTCAAGTATGGCTTGAGAGTTGACAAGAAAAAAATATCTAAACTTGCTTCAGTGCAACCGTGGGGACTCCGTTCTCCCTCGGGTTTTATATTCTAATTTTAGCTGATCAGACTTTACCCGTCCTTTCCTATTCCCACCACCACCCCATCCAACCACCATGCCGTGACTAAGTTCCTAAGAATCGAACATTAAAAACATTTCATTCCTGCTTAGCTCAGAGGATGAGTATTAGCACAGTTTCGCCTTAGCACCCTTCGCTTGTCTGCTGGAGTTGATTTTCTGGTTGAAAAGACTGAAGATCGTTGAGCTGAGGTGTTCATAAGAGTCCCTCCAGGTGAAGTTCGGAAGATCCTCTTATGCCCTTGCTCTTGCACAAAATCGTCCCTCTTGTAGTGGTTCGTCTATGGAGAGGGAGTAGGCAGCTCCCTCCCCTGCCTACCCCCTTTCCATAGATGAACCACTTGCGCTAAATATCACGAGCCGCCACTGACCACATACTACCACACAAAGTCCCGCTGTTCCCACCTCGTCGAGTCGGCTTACCACTGCCGACACTGTCGTGAGATATTTTCACCCACAGAAAAACACCCCTCCACCAGGAAAAACATACCGGTACTTTCTTTCCCCTCCAAAAAAAATACGAGGTACACCGCATTTTTTATTCCGGTGGGAAGAAAATTACTAGGACATTTTTACCCCTTTCTGGATATTATATCCCCCTAAGGATTCGCTATTGCACCTTGAACTCATTCACAGCCGTTCAAGGCAAAAAGCCTAGTTAGTGATCGCGGTCTTCAATCGCCCTTCACGGTTCTTTTCACTTAGCGGAATCGGTCGCACGGATCTCAAGTTTCTACCATG